ACTGCTGAAGCGTCCATGGACCATACGAAAAGGCATCCATTGGTATGGAAATAGTGAAAGTCGTTGAAGATCTCTACGTCACCATACAGGCCGCGCACATTTTCAGCATATACTGCCACCTAGACGGTATGTATTTATTCATTCACACTTCATTTGGGGTACGCTGGCCATTTACGTGATGAATTACAATTATCGCCATTGACATAGATCATTCGACATTTGGGCATACATAATACGCAGAATGGTGTTTAAAATGAGAAAGCACAACATAGCAAGCTGGCTCAAATATCTGTTGTCTCCAGGGGAAGGTCATCTGCTAGACGATACAGTCCAGCCGCCGTGTTTCCTTGCCTCCGGCGGCCTGGCAGTGTACTGCTGACAAGCTGCAGCGTAAGGAGCCTCGGCCTCCGACCAGACGCTCGTCCTCCTCTTGTGGTCGGTGACGTGAGAGAAAACGTATCGGAATCCAATACGTTTCCGCATTGTGTTCGCCGCCAGCGCGTACGCACGAAAGGAAGCGGCTGCATTATTTGGCACAGCGGTCGATGGCGCCACTAGCGAGCGGTGCGCGTTCCGGGGCGTCGAGACCGTCATGGGAGCCGGCTGTCGGAGTCGCCGTACGCTGACGCCCGGCCGCAATCTCCGGCAGACCGGCGGCCTGCAGCCGTAGCCTGTGCCGCGCGACCTGTGGTGAGATCGACGCCGGGTGGCGCCACCGGTGTGGTCCCGGGGCTCGCGTGGCCAGTGTGGTCCGGGCCAGGCACGTCTGTCGCGAACTAGCCGTCGATCAATCATTTTGTTGTGTATTGCATTGCTGCATAGCTGAATAACTAGCCAGCTTCATGCGACTTTGAACACGCATGTGTTAGGTGTGTGCTCTTATCAGTAACTTTGTTTTCAAATGATTTTGTTAGGTATGACTTATGTATGTTATCAGTATAGTTTATTCTGCAAAGTTAACATCCTATCACGAGGTTTCCTGACGGGTTTGGGAGGCCGCTATTCTATTATATTGGCGTAGACTCCATGGCACAACGAATATGGATTACAGTAAGGTTTAGGAATAAAGCTGGGTTTTACCACAAATGCCGATCCTAGAGCTCATCAGAGCACCAATTCTTAACCACTGGCCAGTGATAACCCAAACCAATCTGTTTTCAACATTTTCTGGGGAAACCCAGATTTCCTAGTGGCTGGCAGCATTCTGTTTTTCAGTTTTCGGCATCCTTTAGGCAAAAGATAATCAGGGCAACGCAGCCGATTTTTCAGCCACCTGCCAGGAGCTTGTGAGACTGGCTGCACCAGCATTACCGCCGCGCAGCCCGCAACTCGCGCAGACTTTCGCCTCAAACACTTCCAGTGCCCTGAAATACTACCTTCGCGGTAAATAGCTCCGAAATGATGCAGGCGTCAGCGGTGCCCCGAGGGAGGAGCTGAGGGAGACCATGTGGGATTTCGTTTCCCAGTGGAAGATTTCGGCGTTGGTCGGGGCGCTTGGTGAAGTGTGACCCAGGCCATTGGTCTACTTATTTTCCAGCAAACTCTTTAAATAAACAGCATACTTTGCAAGATTTGTTGGTTCTGCTCCACAAGGGCGGTGCAAGACTTGGAGGGGAACGAGACGCAACACGAGCCTTTCGTCGCCAGCTCCGGTTTCGGAGTCGACCCTCTCGTCACCACCTTGCCTCGGGGCCGACCCTCTCGTCAGCACCCTGACATCACTGCGACATTGCGAGATAGGCAGTCCCCAGGCACAGCAGTTAAGCTCAACTTAGGCCATCAACTTCTGTTCGAGGCAGCAGCTCAGGCCAACAGCTTTTTCCGTCCCTGAGCTGTGTCGATCATAGCCCTGAATGCTCGGTCGCGCTGAGATTCGGGCCGCATTAGTATCAGTGAGCGAAATAAGGAACAATTCTGTGGAGGACCATGTGGCCGTTGTGTCCAAGGAGCCTGGCCTTCCGCAAGACCCGAGGTCGGGCACCGTGGTCATTCTGGAAGCGGGCCGCTGGGGCTGCAGCATAAGGGAAGCGGTCGTCACCACGGTGCGTGGAGGATCTTGGTCCTGGGTCCAGGCTGGCCGCGGAGAACGCCGTGCCGTCGCCATTCCCGGCCGTGGCGGTATAGACGCCGGATCGGGACTGCTGCCCTCCCCCCCCCCCCCCCCTCCACACCCCCTCCATAATGGCCCGGTCATCTCCCTCTGCTCATATGGTTTATCTTGAATTTGAATTTTTAAGATAATCACATCGAAGGAGGTAAAATGATAAGTACCTTCTAAGGTCACATCGTAGCACAACTGCGTGATAATTTCGTTTGTGCAGTGAATGATGCAGGGCTGCACCTCGTATTGTTACACGGACGTTAGGACCTTGTTGTTCTTTCCTCTCGCAGGTATGTTGTTATTCTGTTGTTCCCTGGCATGTCGCTGCTAGTCCTGGCTGTTATCTCCCTATAGCTTCATTTGGGCCGTGGCTGAATTCCCTGGAAGGCTATCCATGCCATAGTTCTCTGGGTTGACCCGGCCTTCAGGTGTTTTTTGTGCTCGACCAGATGGTGTTGTTTTCCCAGCTTCCGTGCTCTACATCCAATCTCGGTGCAGCCGTAAATATCGCCATTGATCCGGCGTGGATGGCAGACGGCGCCTGCTCCCGCCGACCGCGGCACACTCCGTCCCGACTCGGCGCGGATAGAGCCGTGTTAGCGGCGTGTGGCCCCGTCAAACCGGCAGGGGCCGGAGCCAGCTCAGGTGCGCCCGCTCCCTGTGACGATCACCGCCCCGTGCGTGTCACTCGTCAGCTCCCGCCGGGGCCGGAGCCAGCTCAGCTGCGCCCGCTCCCTGTAATGATCACCGCCCCGGGTGTGGCAGTCGTCAGCTTCTGCCGGGGCCGGAGCCAGCTCAGCTGCGCCCGCTCCCTGTGACGATCACCGCCCCGTGCGTGTCATTCGTCAGCTTCCTCCGGGGCCAGAGCCAGCTCAGCTGCGCCCGCCCCTCTGTGACGATCACCGCCCCGTGCGTGTCATTCGTCAGCTTCTGCCGGGACCGGAGCCAGCTCAGCTGCGCCCGCTCCCTGTGATGATCACCGCCCCGTGCGTGTCATTCGTCAGCTTCTGCCGGGACCGGAGCCAGCTCAGCTGCGCCCGCCCCTCTGTGACGATCACCGCCCCGTGCGTGTCATTCGTCAGCTTCTGCCGGGACCGGAGCCAGCTCAGCTGCGCCCGCCCCTCTGTGACGATCACCGCCCCGTGCGTGTCACTCGTCAGCTTCCGCCGGGGCCGGAGCCAGCTCAGCTGCGCCCGCTCCCTGTGATGATCACCGCCCCGGATGTGGCAGTCGTCACATCCGTCCGTGGATTGCTTCCTGCTGTTTGTGGTGCCTTGTGGTGCCTTCTCCGTGACGGCGCTTTCCGTGCCACTTGATCCGCCACGACATTTTCTCAGATTCAGTTAGCACTGTGCCAGACCACTTCCTCGTGGGGAGCGCTTTTGCGCTGTTTTGTTTCGTGGATAACTCTAATGCCTATAAGAAGTTGCACACCATTTTGATTCTGTGCGCCTCTGACGCCTACAACGTTGGATGGAGTTAGATGTTTTATTTTCATAGTAACGTGTTTTCGCGTCTATTTGGAGGCGCCTATTATGCACACTTTCCATTTTCATCTCAGGCCCTCCACCTCTTCATGGATTCAAGGGTTCCACGCTTCCATAACGGTTCCACGAATAATTAAGTCATCGCCTGTGCCATTCCCGGGCAATTTCGGCCTCATCTAGCGCACTCTAGACACCAATGCCCGTTCTGCCGTTTTGCACTTTAAAGGAAACTGAATGTCGTTGATAGGAGCAGCCAAGCCCCCCCCCCCCCCCTCCTCCGAGTTAGATCTTCATTTTCCCAATTTTTCACGATGGATGACTCCTCACAGTTAAAATCAGCGTAGCAGATGTTCACCAAAGTCCCCTTTCCGAAAATCCTGGGTGCGCCCCTAGTGTGCGCTCCTGAGTTTTTTCCATTTCGCTGGTCATACGCTGCCTTCAGCCGTAAGGTAAAGCATCACAAACAGGAAAGTCTAGGTGTTTCTGAAACGTCTGCCAGGAAGAGAAGCAGGCGACGCCTTATAACCTCAGCATCTGAGGGCGTCGGGAAGCCCCAGTGACGGCCATGGCGGATTTTAGTCGCCTTAGTTTGCTTGTGAATAGTTTGGTGTGGTTCGTGGGGTTCTCGGTGACCATTGTGTTCAATTCGTTGTGGAAATGCGGTGTGAGATGGCCACCAACACGCGCAGACCGGCTATGTTAGATTCCAGTTTAGCCTTTGCAGGCCGCCAATTTTCGTAGAAGCGACTCACCACACCCCGCGCTGCACAGTTGTACGCACAGATTCATGCGGCTCCGGCCGACTGAGATACGTCTGAGTCTCAGCGCCTTAAAGTCCCGAGTGCTTGGCGCATTTAAAGGATTGGTAGCGTGCTCGGAACATTTCCTCATTTGTTAGGTTGAAGGTTGTCTATAAGCTATGCTGATTTATGTGGATAAAAACAAGATGCTACTGAAATTCGTGGTTCTGTTGAAAAATCAGGTATTTGGGGACCTTATGTCATTAGTGTGATACAGTTAATGAGAGGACCTGTGGTTTTATACTCCTTCAGAAGTTTCGGTAAAGGCAAATGTGTATTTCGTCTGAAAGGCTCATCAGGCGTGGTGGGGCTACTGCAGTGGGCGAATACAAATCTGCACTCAAATCTGCCACACGGTGTGCGTGCGGGGCGTTTCCGAGCAGCAGTTGCCTTGCCGGTCCACACATACCCTCGCACCATGTCGTACCGAAATGTTGTGTGACTCGATGCAAGCGTTATTAAAAGATGACGGCGAGTCGAAGTAAAATGCCACCGTCGGCGGCGGTTTTTATGACGCGATGTCCGGTAACTGAGCCTCCGGGCGGGCCGAGCATGCTGCCACTCAGCCGCTGAGGGCGCTGCTGATCGCCGGCCGGGGCGCCTGACCGGCAGGCGGCCTGCTGCACGAGCTGAGTAATGACGGCGCGCGCCAGCAATTCGAGGAGTTCCTGGAGAGCCTGCTGCTGCCGCTGATGGTGCGCGCCGCCACCTCGGGTGACCGAGAGTGCCACCTGGTCGTGCTGCTCGACGACGATGTGGTCGACTGGGACGAGAACTACCCGCCGCAGATGGGCGAGGAGGCTAGCCAGAGTGAGTGGCCGCCGGCCGGCCGTGTGGCATGTAGGCACGGCCAGCGGTCCGGCACAGCATAGAGCAGATCTTGGACTTCGTGCCGGTGGTGCATCGATGCTTCTCAGCCGGTCCATTTAATGTTCCCGTGTGTGCTTGTGTGTGCCGGATCCATTGTGCCGGCGTGGAGCGTCGCCAGGGTGTCGCCCACCCGGCGCTGATGGGCACACGTCGCCGTTTCAGCGCTGAAGTCCACTGCCCTCTACCGCTTCTTCAAGTACATCGAGAACAGGGACGTCGTCAAGCAGGTACGGAGGCCGACCGGGCCGGGCCGGGGCGCGGGTCGTGCTGAGCGCGAAAGCGCGGACAGGCAGCGCGCCCGTACTCTGATAACACCAGCCAGCACCGGCGTGTTCGGAGTCAGCCGCTGGGCAGTAGTGGCCAGGCCCGACGTGGGAGATCGGTGCAGGACAGTTTCCATGACGTCAGCGGCCAAATAGCGCTGTTGCTGATGGTCTTCAGTGAAATTTGCCATTGCATGCGTAATAATGCGGGACGACTGTTGGGTGACGGACGCAGGGGAGTTCCTGTTTGGAAATGCCGCCGCTGTTTTAGGTGCAAAGTTCTTAAACTTCTCGGCGGAGCAGAACTTCGAAGTGTCTGGTATCGGACATCCATACAATCATTAGCCGTGCTTCATTCCTTTTCGCCCTGCGGGTCGTACTGAAGAGGTAATATTGTTCACGGAACCCTGTCAAATGGTTCACATTATTTCGGTAAACTTAATAAGATAAATATTTTAAGCATCTCATACAAGCCAAAATGAGCAACGATTTTTTCGGTCTCAGGCCATCCACGCGTTGTGGGCATTTTCGCTGACATCACCGATTATGCATATCAGAGAAAAATACTGACAATCCGTAGATGGGTTGAGGGCTTGTTTTGGCTCGTTTCATATGTTAAGAAGGCAATCTTTGGCATGCAGTTTATCCTATGTATTCTTACTCTGACGGCAATCATGGCCGAGACCCTTCGCATGCTGAACACTTTACTGTAGCCGAGTCAGTTGTAACTAGAAGACTGAAGACCGACGTGGTGCGTTACCATTGATGCAGTATTTTGCTAAAACTTTTGAACTGGTTTCGAACAGTTCTGCTATACGCTCAGGACAAAAAAGGTTAATGCCATATGCAGCCGGTAGCCAGTATAAAAAATTCCGCCACGAGCGCTCTTTTTGTTGCTGATTTTACTTCGCCGAATATCATTAACCAACCGACCAAGAATATTGCGGCGTAGGAAAGAATGACACGACAAAGCAGACATCTGGGTCTTGTGGATAATATAAAACGCTATGTGAGACAGTTCGTGGGCAGGGACTGCGCCACAGTTGTAAAGAAACGACAGATTTTGTCAAATAGGACCGATGCCCGTCCCACGGGTTTTTTCGACTGTGGCATGACACCCGTCCATTTCGAGTAAGATGTTAGCTATTTGCCTCAGGAAAGGAAGCCTTGAATGCTCCAATGGTCCCCAAACAATGCGTTATTGATGTAAGCGGTTGCATCTTGTATGTTTACAATGCTCTGCTGTGGGGAGGGAATTGATAGCATATAGACTGCCTATACATGCACTAAATTATGTCATTCGATTAATATTTATGAAAATAGCCACTGTTATGAAGATTTTAGCACACCACAATGATCACTGTTCAGGGCGGGTCCAACCTACAGCAGTCTGCTTTAAAAAAAAATGGGCCCCTTAAATGGATGCAATGCTTTCACAGCCACGCGAAATGCAGCAGACAGCCATAACACTGTTTAATTCAGCAACATTGTTCATAGTGCACTCACACAAAAGCAACTATGCTGCACAAAGGCATTGGCGACTCGCTGACCTTGCTGAAGGCTGAAGGTCACACAAATATAACAAAACTACATGCAGGCATGGTTAGGTGGATGGAATGTGAGGAAGTGGGAATACTGCCAGTGGACGTAAGGCTTATCAATAAAAATGGTTCGGAAATGCCCTCACATTCTTTTCACTCACAATACTTTTGCATGTCTCCCAGCATCTTGCAAACTTTTGAACGCCTTCAAGACAACCAGGTTTTGGACAAAATGAACAGATGCAAGAAAAATGGGTGACAACAATTGTTAGAGAGATTTTACCAAATCGCCAAGACTGCGCACAGTCATTTATTTGGTTATTCCCCAATGTCATTCCCCTGCAGGGGAAATGATGATGTTATTTCATGATGTATTTCATCATTGATGACTGGCGAGCTGTACTGGCCTGCTCGCGTGAACTAGTTGAGATAGTAATATTTCCTTTTGTAATTTACCACGGCGGCATGCTTCTGCAAACTATTGGCATGCACAATTTTGCAAGCCATATCAAGCGGATCCTGTACCCAGGAGCATACCCGTGACGAACCTCGGCTGGTCGAGCTTCCATACCAAGTAATCGATGCTGGGAACCGCTTTTAAGTAATCAAATTACTTCCAGCGACTTAGTGCATACGCTGCTTGTTGCGCTGTTCCTTGCTTCTTCTTAAATCTTCTGGCTAAATTGTTATCTCATAAGCGCTTGGGTAATGCGACCATGTACGTTGCCATGTTGTTGAGGCTGCTGAATGAGGAATATGGGCGTCCGTTGTCGCGCTTTGGAGAATTGTCCCACGTGGTATTTTCTGCAATGGGAACAGCAGGCTGAGTATTTCAAGGTCACGTACCATTCGGTCGGCCGACATCGTTCCATCGGACGAGATCTCTTATGCATTCTGCTCGATTTATGAAATTAACGGACTTCCGACTAGAGCTGATGACTCGCGTCATACTGGGGCTCAACTCCGGGGTAGGTACAAGGCCCCGACTCAAATTAGGATTTAGATTTAGAAAAAGGTAGAAAAGACCACAACTAATATTTGTGTTATTACATTGTAATGCAATAATAAAAGCGGGCGTCAGTGCGATGCTGAACCATCAAGGCGGTATTATATGTATGTATCTCAAGAATTCACCAACTCAGATAATATCTAATGCATTTAATTGTACGTGTAACTGATGTGTATCAGGATTGGATGCGGTTTTGGTATTGCAATCCTGATTTTCAGAATTACCGTACTGTGGCTCCGAATTTCCATCCCCCGTTCAAACACAGCGTGATCTTCCGCCAGCTCCTCGTCTACCGTCTCCTGTACGAGACGATGGAGGGGAGGGGAGGGGGGAGGGGGACTGCACTGAACCTTTGGGAACTCATAAACGTGGTCCTCCAGTGGCAGTTCAGCGGCTGGAAGGCATGAAGTCCATCAAAGACCAGGAGCATTAGAGCGGCAGATGGTAAGGGTATGTGGACATTCAGCGGGTCCGCCTCACAGGCTTGCGCCAGTTAGATCGCAAATGGCGAGCAGATGTAATTGCGTCAGTGTCCCACCTTTGGAGCGTGTTTCAAAGATGTACTGTAGTAAAACTTCAGGACTGGAATGTGTCCCAGCTTTGGAGCATGTTTCAAAGGTATGCTCCAGTAAAACTTCAGGACTAGTTACGTATTTTAACAACACCAGATAATCTCTGGCAGATAGTATCTCCGAAGGACCGCCAAAACTTAATGCGGGTAGCAATTTTGATTATTTTCGAGTCCCAATTACGCTGTCGACATTTTGTAACGGCACTCCGCTTCTTCCCTGCAGTCGCTACCACCGCCCTTATGACAACCAAGGTGCGCACCTCTACTGGTGCGAATATAGGAACGTTCGTGATTGGCCCAGCGGGCAGCGGCCTGCCACCTACAAGCTGGTTGGTTGAAGTTTGAACCAGTACGTTGCATGAATCATATGATGCTTCCATTCACAAAGCCAAAGTATGTCGCGAAAAAAGCCACTGTGGTAAATGCCATCAGGGCATCAGGGCTCTAGGGCAGAAATGAAAGCCATGGGATAGTGTTTTCTTGAATTCGCGGGATGATAGCTTAATGTTCGCATCTATTTTTGTCTAAACAGTGCTTCACACTTTTGTAGCATTTATTACACCTTTCGACACATTAGTGTGTTGCAAACATTACAGAACACACCTTGGAAAAAAGGTAAATGAAATTATCCTTTTTTGGTGGTGAGCAGGGGGTCGACCAAGATTTCTCCCGCAGTGTCGGCTTCTTCAAACCAAGGTTTTGGGCTATCCAAATGGACTTCGAGAAAGCTAATAAAAAAAAACTGATGAAATCGCACGCGTTGGACGTAAGAATAAGTGAAAAGTCCAAACAAGATGAGATGCTCCCTTGAATGATGTTCAGTTGCCGACAACCCAGCGTCCTGACTACCTCATAACGCGGCACTGTTTTGTCTAGCGGCGCGTTTAGGCGTGGCACTGTGCTGCTGCTCAGCGCTGCAAGTCGCCGTCTGATGTGTGATGAGCAGCAGGGGGTCACCAGCGTCCTGACTACCTCATAACGCGGCACTGTTTTGTCTAGCGGCGCGTCTAGGCGTGGCACTGTGCTGCTGCTCAGCGCTGCAAGTCGCCGTCTGATGTGTGATGAGCAGCAGCGCGTCAATGCAGCATTGGCCGCTGCTGCGCTCCGAGTATTTGCCATCTACGATCAGTCATCCACTGGCACAGAACAAAGGCGAAAGTGAGCTTCATATGGACGCCGTATGCTCGTCCGCCTGGCGTGATGTGAAGGGGGCTGATCTGCATTTATGGCGTATTATGCTGTGAGTCCCATCTTTGAATCCAATTTCTGAACCGTTTAAGACATAACTCAAGTTTCTCTCAACTTACCTGGTCATCGTTCTGTCGTCTATCTAACAAAAGGAAAGTCTTTGCGCCAGCGATATTGACACGTGTCAGCAGAAGTCACTTAGGACATAGGAGGCATGGTTTGCTCTTACGCATGCGCAAGGGGTACGTTAATACTGAGTTCATCGAGCGTTCAGTTTTTAGGAAGAAATCATGCCCAGTATACGTTAACCAACAAATCCAAATCTAGGATGTCGTGCAGTCCTTGGTAAGGGAGGATGTAGGAAAAGGTTGAGTCCATGTTGTTTATTTATATACGTTGCTGTCATAATGCGAACTGCGTGGCTGAGTTGACAGAACTTGGCGCGCATGCAGAGGTGTTTCATGCCAGACATGTGGTTTTCATCAGTGAGCCCGAAAAATGACCGGACGTTACCGACCTGATAGAGAGAATCAGGGAATCAATGTCTGTGTTTTCCAATCCTCGGGTCGTGCGTGGGTGGTGTGGGGTCTGAAGGCGGCGGGCCACGCCGACAGTAGTAGCCCCGCTGTCGCCGGTCGGGGCGCGTGCTGCTGTT